ACATATTTTTGGTTGCATACTAGATAAATTTTAACCAGTGTCTCCAGTCTCCTACTCTAATGCTTTTCCTATTAAATAAAATCACTCTTATTGTGCTTAAAAACCCTAGATGTATTGCCAAATTTTGGGTTTATAGTTGAGAGCTTAAACCTGTATCTACAAAGATCTGGCAAACATTTGCTTGGGCTTTCTTTATAATCAATAGCAATTGCCAAAGCCATATCAATCATTGTGATTTGCATCCCTTACTAAGAAAATAACAAGGAGTACTTTAACCCTTCAGTCATCTATTGACTTTAATCTCTAGCTTGCAAACTATTAGATATTTTGTGGTACATTAAAGTGAGATCCATAAATTTGTGTCTAATTTACACATAGTCCACTTCAATTTGGATCCAGAAAATGGTCARTCTTGTTTAAAAAAGGAGAATTTTTTTTATTGCTTTTCATCATTTCCAATTACAGAGCTATTGGCTTACCAGACATCTCAGCTATAATTTATGCACTTTTCTTTTTGATAAATGGCAAGGCTTGAATTTTCAGGCTAGTAATTTATATAAATTGCAGGTATACTTTATATTTTGCTACCCTTCTACTTCTAATATTTTTTATTACACTGAGGAGAAATGAATTGAGACTGACATGATATTGTTTACAGCTCTCTTTGATTTTTTTGTTAGCTTTTTAATCCATATACAGAAATCTATTATGAGCTAAGCTCTATATCCTAATAAAAGCCTTCTATTTGGTGATGATTATACAGGGCAATTAACCTTGCCCCAAGAGTCACACAGTCAGTGGGATTGGTAACTTGACAGATCAGAATATCATGATGTATTTTAGCCAGTTTAAAAAAAAATCTGTAACTTAAGAAACTGCTCTTTGGAGAAGTTGAACATACTCTTGCCCTTCGTACTTTAATCAAAAGAATTGAAAGGTAAACATTTCACATATTCAGAGGATGAAATTTTATTGTCATGAACCAGAGGTGTTTTAGTCAATCTGAAACCCACTGGATACCGTGAATCTTAGCATCATCAGATCCTGAATTGAATCCTGGCTGTGCTACCCATTCTCTTCTATGAGCAACAAAATTGGTCTGAAAACACCTACCCAGTATGACTGTTATGAAGCTATGACAAAATAATGCAAAATAGTGCTTAGCAGAGTGCTTGGTTCAATAAAAATGAAATGTTTAAATGGAATTTTTGACTGAGGCTATCAAATAAAAGTCAAATTCCAAAGCTAGATCCCCATACCCAGATTTATAAAGGATTTGGTCAAAGATAGATACTGCTGCTCATGGGTTCCTCACATGTGGAAGGCATGGATTTGATGAGAGCATTTTACTGTGTATGGGCACAATCTGAGCCCAGACTCTCTTCCAAGTGATGAGTGGGAGCCCCAAACTAGTGAGAAAGACCTTCAGGAAAGGCCACAAGAAGCTTGCTCTCTGTTCTCTGCTATTGGAGGATAGAACACACGTGCCCAATGTAGGCTGAGAAGTATGCATAGCCTATGGCATTGGGATAGAAGTGCCTTGTGATATCAGCCTTTCCTCCCAGTTATCAATTGGCAAGATAAGAAGTGCCTCATCTCCTGACCATAACTGGGCCTCCTACATGAGCAAATGTGCCAAGGAACTGTAAATAGATGGCCTGGAGGAGCTCAGAGTTCCACCCAAGTGCACTTCTGTCAGAGGGTGAGGAGAGACCTCGTGGGGTGAAGTGTGGTAGATGAACTGCCAAAGAAAGAGCTGAGAAGCCATAGGGTGCAGGCAGCCTAGGAAAACCTGCCTCTTGGGAGCTGTAATGGGGGGTCCTGCAGGGATGAGAAAGCTCTAGAGGGCCTATCTGAGTGCCCACAGGGGAGTCAGCTGGAAACGTTGTCCGCATGCTCTGCCTGTGAAGCCCACTGATGTGAGACCCTTCTAAGTGTGGGCTTCCCGTTCTTGCCCTTCCTTCTTCTGCTTCTTCCCTGAATACTCAGAACTCAGCAAGCAATGCCAAGGAGAGGGAGCAACTCTAGAGAGAGAAATAGAGAGGAAGCCACCTAGACCACTTTTTACGTGACTGCCCTTCAGCTGGAAGCAGGCCTGGGCTGTAAAGGGGAGAACATTGGGCATTTTAATCAAGGAGTAGAGTGAATTGTGAGTGTGTTTCTGATTTTAAGTAGGACTGTCTGATACCTATAAGTGAGAAGCAAATCTTTTCTGGAGCTTTTATCTAGGGATACGGCCGTGTAATTGCCATGGAGTACAAACTAAAGAGTGTTGGGAAGAAAATGAAAGGTATGCTATTAAATTATAGTTGTGTTAGTCTGCTGTATTGGTTACTTTATTGTTGTTGATACTGTTATAGGCTACCTTCAAATTTAGTATTGAATTCCTGTAGTTGCTATTTTGTTTGCTATTCCCCCTGCATTTTTCTGGCTTGTAACAAATATCTTATACCACAAGTCAACCCATTCAGTGATTTAAAGGAGCATTTTTGCAGCTAGGTTTCTCACAGTATTTACCAGAAAATTTATTTGGTTAAAGTTAATGTTCTATGAATACTTGATTGAGATTTCCTATACCCAACATGAGAATTAGGTGGCATTTACTTTAACTTTGCAGACTTAAATATTTCAGCAGCATGCACCATGATGTAGCATTTTGGGAACTTGAACATGAACAGAGGCAGATAACTATTCTCTTTTAGTGTTCTTTTAAATTGATGTATAGTCACATAACAAAAGTACACAGTTCATAAGCATTTAACAAATATTTACATAATATATCCAGGTAACCAATACTTAGTTACTGTGTGGGATACTGCTGATACCTCACTCACTGACTCCTCATATCAATGATTTTGGGTCATTTTAAACTTTTTAATAATGGAATCATATGTAAAATTGTGAGATTCATTCATGTTAAGTGTAGTCGATTGTTTATTTGAAAATCTGTATTGTATTCCACTTGACAAATAAGCAATAATATATTAATTTATTCTATATCTTAGTTTATGGCATTTGGGTTGTTTTTGTGCCACCAAAAGCATTCTTATATATGTGCTTTGGCAAATATATTGTGCATTTTTGCTGATTTCATATGTGCTGGTAGAGTTATTATAGACAGGACTATATTCAACCTTAGTACATAATAACTTAAAAAATAGAAAAGCACTGGGGATGTGGCTCAGTTGTTGAGTGCCCCTGGGTTCAATCCCCAATACCAAAAAAAAAAAAAGTGATAAAATTATGCTTTGCTCAACTATGTATAAGAAGTCATTCCACTATACCTAGCCAGGTGTGCACCAATTGTTTTTTTT